TGCACTGCCAACCTTCCCACGTGAGCCTTCACGGCTCGTGGTGGTCAGCACCACTCGTCAGACCACTCGTGGTGGTGAGGTAGTTTCTCCCCAAGGCTTCCCCAAGTTGGATTCCTCCACACGAACCACTTCACAGCTCGTGAAGGCCTTGACGGGCCGTGGGAGGAGTCATGAAATTGCCTTAATATTTTAGGGGTTAAAGAGTGGGTGCCTAGCCACTGTAAAGTGACCACGGCTCGTGGTAGGCACCACATCTCGTGGAGCCTTCCGTGAAGAAGAGGTAGTACACTGCCAAGTGAAGGTTAATTTGGGTCTTTCTGGTTTTAATTAAAATAAAGTGAGGTCATTTTTCCCAAGACTAGTACACCTATATAAGTGATTTTAACCCTTTTAAACTCACCATTCAAGTCATTATTTCCAAATCCCCAAAAGAAATCACAAAGCTCTTCTCTCAAATATATCTCTCTTTAGAACTTGAAGAAGAAGAAAGAGTTCAAGTTAGGATCAAGGTCAAATCTCCGATCCTCAAGAATTTGTGGGGTTTTTAATCAAGGTATGATGGTTTATTCATCCATGGAGCCCCCATGATTTCCCCAATTTAGAAGAAGACTTCCCAAATTCTAGTTAGGGTTTCTTCTAATTTTATGAGTTTTGATCCAAATGAATGGATTATGATTGTTTATGATTGAATTGATTTAATTACATGTTTTTAGGATGAATTTATATGTACCCATTGTCACACCCCTTTTCGCGCACGGAGGCGGAGGGTTTTTCCAATTTAAGTGACGGTATTGATTGATGATTATTTATTTTTTTTCCGAGTCGCCACTTGGAATTGAGTTATGGTGTTCCGAGTCACCTTTTTGTTTAATCCCTAATCAAAAGGAAATGACTCTTTGTTTGGTCTGCGAACCAGAAAATCAGGTAAGAAATTATGTTGATCGAAAGGAAGGTAGTAGGCATCCCTCGAGTCCCGTGGTTCTAGCACGGTCACTTTTATTGACTTATACTTATCTTGATACATTTTTGGATAATTTGTGTCTATATGCCAAATTTTGCTTATTTTTTAATTGTTGAATTTTTATTAGTCTTAAACCGGATGCATAACTGTATTCTCGATCTTGACATTTGGAGACATAACTGTCTTCCCCTCTCGAGTTCATCACACTTAATAATCTCAATTTACACCTCTTGGTTTGAATTAACAAAAATTAATTATTAAAGTAATTTGGACAAGGTGCGTCACCGCATTCTTGAGTTTCTTTTAAGTGTTTCAAAGAAAGATTTGTAGCCACATTCTTTATTGAAATCGACCTTTGAAACGGGTCATATATTTTAATAATTTACCTATTACTAGATAACTTAAGCATTTTATTAGTGATTAAATTATATTTTTACTAATTTGTTCATGAATACTATTGAAATAATAAAAGTCTAAAATCTTAAACAAA